ATATATATATATATATAGATAGATAGATAGATAGATAGATAGATAGATAGATAGATAGATAGATAGATAGATATAGATATAGATATATAAAATATTTTTTCCCCAAATACAGGTGCTCATTTAATTACAATATCAAATAACGGTTTTTGTTCAGAAATGTAAAACTCGTGAAGGGGACTTCAGACAAAAATGTAAAAATCTAAAAGCACAAGCGAACAAAAACAGGAGCTTGTTGGCAGTGCAAATAATTACCGTACGGTAACTAGAGCAGTGGCGGATCTACAAACTCTGCGAACTCAAAGCTCAGCGAGGGTGCCTGAGTGTGTGTGCGTGAAGTCTTTGTGTGGTTACGAAGGCAACAGAGCAAATATAAGCCAGACAAAACACTCACAGCATTGTCTGAAGTGGAGCTGAAGTGAGGCAGCTGAGTAAGTGTCGTCACGTTGGGACATAGTAAGTGCAGGTTAGACCGCTTGTTTGCTGATGCATGTGTTAATACAGTATATTCTCAAAACAATGAAGCTAACACACTCACAGTTTAGTAAACCACTCCTGTCTTGACAGCTCTCTGACCACAGGCATTTTTTTACACTCTTTGGTGTGAATTAAGTGATCAGCAGAGTCCAGAGAGCTGTGAAGTCCTCGGTGGGGAGTGAGGAAAGGTGAAGGGTATCTGAGGGGCCATTAGGGGGAGGAGCATACCTTTGCAGTGTGTCACACGTCGCATCCCTTGTAAAGGTCACAGAGAGAGACATAAGCACCAGGTGAGGGGTGTCATGGCTTCCTCACTTCCTGGTCTGTTACAACAGGTGAGCGCATGTTCTGGCTGCTGTGCTGGTCAACACAACTTGTGTGCTGTGTGATGGCATCCCACCCGGTCAGTACCAACGCGCATTGGCGCCGCTTATCATAATAAGTACAAGTACACTCAAGGCAGTTAAATGTTACTGTGTGTGTGTGTGTGTGTGTGTGTGTGTGTGTGTGTGTGTGTGTATACTTTTTATTGTGGGGGACAAAAAAAGTTTAGTACAGTATGGTGGACTCACGCATAGTCGTGGTTCAGCATTATATATATATATATAAAGTATTGCATGGTATTCTTGAATATAGTATACTCCATCATTCACAGAACCCCAAAAGAACAAATCTATTGGGGTTTGGTATTTATTTATCTATTTATTAATGTATTTATTGAATCATTTCTTAATTGGCTTATTGTAAATAACACAATTCAAACGATGACAAATGCAATACAATAAAGATAAATACGACACTTTATAGCTCAGCTTGAATTTTAAGTTTATTATTTTTCGTTATTTAGGTACACGTTTGAACCCCCCACTCCCGTCCAATAACCTCAAATACTGCACCAACAACTGTCCTGTTTGTCCCCTTTTGAGAGCAAATGTGGCCCTTGGGCACAAAGGTTTTCCTGATTCCGGTCTACGTGCTTTGTTAGGTGCTGTTCAATTTCCACAAAGATCAATAGCATGTTGGCATTGGAAGGTGTGAACAATACACTTCTAATTTGATATTCAGTTCCATTTGTGTAGTTTTTCTCGTATCTGTTTTTTGTTCCCGCTATTGTCCAAAGGGTCAGGCAACACATGAGTTGCTGGTTTTTTTTCTCTCAGAGCAATGCACAACTACAGCAAGTATTTTCAATGAAAAACCTCAGCAAATCGTCATAGTGGATATTGTTTGACGAAACAATGCAGGAAAGATGCATCAGGAAGAAAAGATGAACGATGAAAATGGAAGCATGAATGAAATGTGATGAGGAAATGACTAAACAATAACACAATGTGTGCATATGGTAAGGATCAATAGAAATATATGACAGAATGTGTGTGACAGCTATGATCGGTTTGTGTCATGGTGCTATAAACTAGCAGTCACAAGAAAAGAGCGCTTACCTGCATTGAACACTGGGTCCCTCTGCTTGCTGCAAAGTAAACGAGCAAACTGTCAATCAGCGTCGTTCCTGCACATGTTCGCAATGGACATCTTGTTGACTTGGATGAACGTCACGGGAAAAGAGAACTCGCTCGTGTGTCAGGGATATTTGTTACCTGTCACTTCTTTTGCCACTGGAATTGCTGCCTGTGGACCCCGCACGAGTTCGGTTGCCCTTGGAGTCGCCCGAATCTTTCCGCGTGAGGGACCCAACGTGCTCATTGGAATTGGCTCTCCTCACCGTGCTAGGAGGAAAATGTGTGGAAACACTGTTAGAAAAACATGCAGTTTATGTCAGGAATGATAAGTTGTTTACATCCAGTTTTGCATTTTTGAACAATATTTAATTAACCCTTTCAGTGGACAGCTTATCATGTTACAGGTTATCATTATTGGTGCATGAAAGGGTTACAATAAAATACATTTTTATCACAAAGAAGATTGATATATCTCCCCCCATCCATACATTTTCCGAGCCGCTTTATCCTCACAAGGGTCGCGGTGGGTGCTGACGCCTATCCCGGCGGGGGCTGGCCTGTCCCGGCTGTCTTTGGGCAGTAGGCGGGGGACCCCCTAACCCGTTTGCCAGCCAATCACAAGGCACACAGAGACGAACAACCATCCGCGCTCACACTCACACTGAGAGATAATTTAGAGTGTTCAATCAGCCTGCCATGCATGTTTTTGGAATGTGGGAGGAAACCTGAGTCCCCGGAGAAAACCCACGCAGGCACGGGGAGAACATGCAAACTCCACACAGGAAGGCCGGAGCTGGGATTAGACCCAGTACCTCTGCACTGTGAGGTTGACGCGCTAATAACTCTACCAAACGAGCCGCCCAGTATTGATATACTTTTTATGAATTACATTGAATAACACATTTTTATTTTTTTCTTATCCTGTTTCTCCTGACTTGCAGTTAGATATGTGGCATCACTTTTGGATTAAGTTTAAAGTTACAGGGCTACAAATTTATTGCCGGTTGCTGTCCGTGTCTCCAAAATATCTATTCAGCCATGACCCTAACCCTATTTTTATTTGGGATTGCTTCATTCGTAATACGATGACATAAATGGCATGAAAGCCCAAAAATAAAAGGGGTTCATTGGTTGGCTTTTTGACTCCCCTGTGGATGGCCTTGCACCAGCTCAACCTGATGAATTGGGTCGCTTGACAGCCCGGTTTCCAACACAATAAAAAGACTCCATCAGCAGTCCGTTGGCCCGTCGGCACAGTCATTCACCTAATCCACCCTTACTGACATTCAAAAACGGCCAGTCCTTTTCTGAGTTATTTGTTTGCTACGGGACAGAGTGAAAAGGAAGGAGAGAAGCTCGTGTCTGCTGCGTTAGCCAGAGATGAATCAAGTGGACCACATGGGAGCATACTGTGGGTGTTTTCAAATTCATGCATTTTAAGTATGTAAAATTATGAAACTGATTGCATGTGAATATTACTCATGTATGTAATTTGCAAATTTTAAAAAAAAGCATTCAAGGTTTGTTGTCATCCTAGTGGTTAAGTCATATTAGACTGAAAGCAATAACATGTTGACATGCTCACCTCAGCAGCGGTGAAAGAATTCTGGACGGCAGAGACAAAGGAGACAAACTACACATCTTATTACAAGGCGACAGGCCGTACTTTGTCTGCCTGACATTTGTTAAGTCACAGAAGGGGAATAATTGGAAAGAGAAATGGACAAGTATCACACTGGGACTTGAGACTAACATTCAACACGTTTGTTATAATTAATGATCTTGTCTTATTCCCTCAAGAGACAACCGTGAGGTGAATTGGAGCTGTAGTTTGAAAATTAGAAAATTGCAATTACGCATCTCCCGCCAGTAAGAACTCCCCAAGACTCCCATTGGTGAATGAAGCGAAGTTTTTGACCTTCAAGACAAATCGAACGTTTATGACACTACAGTTTTTAGCTACGGTATTTTTTCCCCGGCTCGGGGAAAAAATAAAAAAAACATCACATTTTGGTTGATCTCCAATTTTTGGGAGTTTTAGAGTGTAAAAATTGAGGCTCCAGTAAATCTACATACTTCCATACACGCATGCTAAAGTTGTACCTCATTTTTAACTCTGTTTTCAAGTAAAACACAATTCTGAGCTTATTCTGTGTCAAAGAAAATGACGTAAAATAGAAAAAGACAGGTAATCAAATTTGTGAACATTTTGAGAGGGGAAAAAAAAAAAAATCAGCAACCTTGACCTCCGTCAAGACCTAACAATCCTTTTTTGGATAACCACCAAATATTACCATGCTCTCCTCCACAAACCTTTGGTAGGAATTGGTGAAAACAAATTTCAGCTACAGTTCAATCAGCCATTCTCTGTCAGTCTCAAAGAGATATTTCATACATTTGAAAAAAAAAACTCTTTTTGACTCCTTTACTGAGAAATGAAAGTGCAAAGGGGAAAGAAATACAAAACAGTTTCGATCTTTTGGGTCACGACTGTTTGCCGAGGTTCAACTGATTATAGGAATAGCATCCAGGGATGGGAGATGCTTAGTGTTCCCTTGATAACATTGGCACCACGATTATATGCATGAATACACACACATACTGCACACACAGACGCACACTCTTTCTCGGGGTTTACGAGCCCTGCTAAATGTCAGTTGCTTTGGCTGACAAAGCGGTAGATGGGAGGACTGATAGCAGGAATTATCAGACATGACAACTCCAGACAAGTAAAATGCTTACAATCTGGTAAAGTGGCCCATTTACAGCCAGCCCAATTCACCATCACAATTCCCCGGTGAATTTGATGAATATCCTTTCTCATTTGCTCACCTCCTGGTGGATGCTGTGCTCGTGTCTTTCCTGGATCCAGACCCAGATGGGGAGGGCAGAGTGCCACCGCCTTTCTTTGGTAGGATGGTGCCGTTGTTCACCGAGGGTCTTAACGGCAGCGTGGCGATCATTGGCCGGGCTGGCGAAAAAAAAAAAATCAGAAGAACATTACAAAAACACATTTTTTTTTTTTTTTTTATGTTGCAACTACCGGTAAATTAATAATTGACTGAGATTATGTTTCTGAATGACAGAAATGGGCTAAACGCTTCCTGTGTTTGTCATCTGTTATCGTGGTCCGTGTCAGCCAATGAGAAAGTAAGAGAGCTTCAACATGACTTTGGCATATGGCGCTAGATTGGCCGGCCACATAAAATGCAACAGAATAGTCGGTTAAGGGGAAAAAGCAGCACATATATAAGTGAAAACTACCAACACGACCCACAGAGACTGAACCATAATACTTTATTTTACTGAAGATGAATTTCTTCAGCAAGACTCCTCCAACTGAAGGTCATGTGACTACTTTTTCTCATGAAAGTCGCTCTGACTGGAGTGACCAAAACGTTGGCTCCCACTAACATGGGTAATACAACTACTCATCCTTCAAATATTGCAGACGCTGCAAATTAATTTAATTCAGCAATATGGGAGCATTTTGGCTACCCGGTAGGGAACAGAGTCGCTAAGTCGACAGTCCATACTAACACATTTGTTAGAGCCCTCTGTGGAAAAAATGAGCACAAAGGTCTTTGGAGAGCTTTTTTGGAAAGTGGAAAAAGGCCAAACGATGAGGCAGAAGAAGAAGAGGAGCCTGCAATGTTCAATAAAAAGAAAGCCGCATGTAAGAGACAATATCAGCAGTCCTATCGTTGCTTTAAATGTGTCTCTCGTTACAGGTGATTCTCATGCACCGAGCTCATTCTGTTTGATCATGGATGTGACTGAAGGGTCACAAATAAGGCAATGAAGACAATAGAAAAGGAGTTTAGGCGCCAACAAAATACTCCTTAAAAAAAATTGAACAAAATACCTCGCTTCCATTTCTAATATCCTATATTTTTGTGAAGCAGTAACTTGACGGCAACCAAACCAAAATTATGGAACGGACTGGAAATAAATGACACACATCGTATGTTATGAGAGATGGGACTGACTCATTGAGGACAAACCAGCGTGGGGCTCCTACAAATTACAATGACTGCATTCAGCACATTGGTGAGCTGTATTTTTAACGCTAACATTTATTTTCATTTGTTTCTATGCCAGCCCATCAAAATATTGCTTCACGTAAAAAACGGTCGATAGTAAAACATAAAATTCAAAAGTATTTTTCAGAATATTGTTCTGTGATAAGCAATTGCAAAATTAGTCCATGCACTTTCAGCTAAGGTGTAAAAACGCGCATGCACACACAAACAAAGAGTACACGTGCCAGAAGTCGTGGACAGAATTTAAAAGCCAGGATGCAGCTTTTTCTGCAATGATAAATATTTTATAGGCAGTTTCATGGGGCAGACACTCACACTTGTACCTCGATCATATTTCATGCAGTAATTATGCAGCAGGGAGTTGTACGAGCTTGTGCTTGTGTTTTAGTCTTTCTGCTGCCCAGTGTGGTGTAGCTTAAAAAAAGGCCGCGTCAAAATCCAAACAGATAATCTGCGCATCAATCATCTTGTAGGTCAAAACTAGCCCAGAATGAAAACGCAACTCTTTATCATCAGTCACCTTTTTTTCCGTTACAGCTAATTTGTAGCTAATGTGGCATTTGAGGCAACAGGTTGTAAATAAACTGAGGATGGACATTTCCATAATTGATAGTTGCTCAGCCATTTGCAATCTAATTTTTTTATCAGTGAAGTCATGTTAAGCAACAAGAGCTGAAAGAGGCGTTTACCAGGGGAGGCGTGTTTGTCATAATAAATATTTCCTGCATTTACTATTTATGTCACGTGAAACGGAAATTTAAAATATTGACTAGTGAGCACATCTGCCTCACAGTGCAGAGGCGCAGGCTTTGATTTTGGCTCCGGCCTTCCTGTGTGGAGTTTGCATGTTCTCCCCGTGCCACATTCCAAAAACAACACGGCAGGTTAATGGAACATTCTAAATTGTCCCTCGTGTGATTGTGAGTGCGAATGGTTGTTCGTCTATGTCTGCCCATGCTTATTCTAGACTTGCTGACAAAAATATCAAATTTGTCTCACCATTGCATAAAAGCATGACACAATTTGAGTCGTGGCGCAACAGACAGTGTGACACAACAACAGTAAGTGTGTTTATCAACGTGAACACGTGACACTCTTTTAGCAGGCAGTGATAGAAATGTGCTTGCTCATACAAACGCCGCCAGGCCTGGCCAGCGCAGACAGTCGGCCTACCTGACTTCCCAACATGGCTGTCAGCCGAGGGAGACTTTCTCATCAAAGCAGGCTCTATGCACATGACGCACAATACAATACGACAACCCAACTCAGTCCACTGGAAGGACAGCAACAAACTGAGGATAGGCCTGGGCGATTTGGCCTTTAAAAATTTTGTTGTATTTTATTTTTTTTACTCCCCCACAAAAATAATATTTTGCAATTTGATACGAGTAATCTCCACTTAATCGCCCAGTCCTAACAGAGAGTAGAAATCATTCAGCCTAGTACTGTACTGCGTGATTGTTCACCTTTGGTTGGCCCTCGACGTGAGCTCATGGCCTGCTGCTCCTCAGACGCGTTGAGGCGGCGAACCACGTCGGCCAGAGCGGACTTGAGCAGCTGGATCTCGTCCTCCTGCATCTGGACCCTCTGCTCCAGGGAGGCGATGCGGTCGGCGACCTCCATGCTGCTTGATGCTGACGCGCTGTCATCTGAGAAAACACGATGAGCTGCTGTCACAGACATTCAGAGTGGATGACGTATTCTCAGCTAGTGGTACAGCCATTTCTCGGTGGAAATATTTCCAGATAGCCTACCCTATAGGTGGAAATTCGAATCGTCAGCACGGCAGATGCACTCATAGGCCACATAAGCACATACAAGCACTTGAGTGGAACAAGGGTAATGTGAGTGTGTGTGTCCTTTTCATGTTTATTTAAAAGATTAGTCAACTCAAATTAGGCATGGACTGTGGCCGACAGCTCATTGTGCTTATATGCCTTACATTTCCCCCCCAGCATCCAATAAATAGCTGAAAAATGTATAGAGGAGTTTCCCACATGGGCATTACAGGTGAATTGCGATATAGCAGGGGAACACCGCAATATTAGAAAGAATGTTAAACTTCATTCATGAAGATGTAAACAAGAGAGCCAAACAGCCATGGGGCTACAATAAACACCTAACATTTTTATTGTATTTATTTTTATGATATTTAAACTTACACAATTGCCACACACACACACACACACACACACACACACACACACACACACACACACACACACACACACACACACACACACGATGACTTTGATCAAATATACATGTAAATCACCGCTGTGTTTCCCCGGCATTAACAGTCAGATGAATAATGCATTGGATGCATCGGACATCTGCGGCATGTGCGTTCTCCGAGGATTTGCCTTGAAGCCAGACCGCCTGCTCAGATGATGTAAATGTGTGGGAGCTCTTGACTTGTGTAAATAATGTTGTCAAACACTTCAATAAAGCGTTGTTTTGCGAAAGAAAAGAAACACGGACACTGTGGATCTGAGGCTATTTCATGCAGATGCATTTTTTATAGCACTTGTACTCATTTGGGTTGCGGGAAAGCTGAAATTCTGCTCTAGGTGACTTTGGGCAAGAGGCATGGTACACCCTGGACAGGTTGCCAATCACATTCCATGCAACTCATAAGAATTACTGAAAGATTAAAAATCAAATTAATAGATTAAGACATTCAATTACAGTTCAAACAAATCAGTATATTCACAGATTACATTTTAGGCTCCTCAATTAGAAATCAAAATCCAGAACATGCACGGATAATTTACTATCCTGTATTTTGGAGTCACTAACTAACTTTGTTACCAAATATATTTACTGTTAATTTTCATATCGAACTAAAAGAACAATTGAAACATTTCTATGAAAGTATGTTGAATAAAATTTGCATTTTCCAACAGTGTTTTGAATAGGGTTTCGAAAGTGCCTTTATGATCCATCCATCTTCTATAGCGCTTGTTCTCCCAGTGAAAAACTAAATAAGAAACTTATAAACTGAGATTCACAGATGAATTTTCGCATAAAGGACATGCAAAAAAAATCTCTCTCACGGTTATTTTTCTTTTCCCAAAAAAACAATGTGCTCACCTGAGGTGCGTCCGCTGAAGCAGCGCTTCTTCATGTTCATTTGTGAATATGACGAATCGCACGAAAAAAGACGCAACTATCTGATGAGCATCTGCCCCTTTCTGCTCACACCAAAGACACACAACAGTATCCCTGATGGAGGCGTACAAAGACGGATTGTCACACAAGCCATTCCCTGCGCACCAATGCCTGACACCTGCCTGTCTTGAAAGGAAAGCTTCAAACACAACACACAGTCGTGTGACAGAACCCAACAAAAGGAACTGGACGCAAGTTCCTGAGGTTGAGGCCAGGTATATAAATATCTGTGTAGTCGCCATCAGTGATGTGTCACTCTCCATTTAGCAAAAAATCCATCAGCATGCACACCCTGGGACGCCGGTGGTTCTCTTCCAATGCAATGAACCCACATTATTACACCGTGCCCAACCAATCTCACTGCAGGCGGTGCTGCTTCAATGACATCATTCCTCTCTGGCTGATCTTTTCTTGCCTCGTTTTCAAGTCCAAATGAGGACAGGGCACACATCCTAGAATATTATTTGAATCCTTATTTGATATGGCACACATCGCCGTACTTTGCATCATTCCCTTGGATCAAGTAACGGGGGAAAATGTGAACAAGCACTTGGCACGTCTATCTTCCCATCACTGAACAAACAAAGAAGCACTTTCCTGAGTCATGCACTGACCTCGCTCTCATCAATAATTGAATTGTAGAGCGGCACATGGGTTCTAATCCATTTCCCCTCTCAGCACTCTCAGGATCAACAACAAAGGACTGCAATATCTTATGGTAAATGCTGTGATAACGCACAGGAGGCACTTTCACATTTTGGAGTATACTTTTGGTGTCTTGGGACGCCTGGTTATGACAGCGACTGAAAATTCAAGTGAATATAGACTTGCTTGGTGCACACTTTTCAGCTATAATAGCTTCCACACATCTGGGAATACATTTTAAAACATTTGGAAGAGAACTGGAGAGTGAGGCAACAACCTGGGAAACAGCCTGTGACAACAACAAGCCAATATTTCCTGTTTTTTCAAGAAGGCATTCAAATCATCGCTCTTTTTGAAGGATGTTTTAATTATGACTAGGTAAAGTTTCTCCATCAGTCAGACAAAAAAAAAAAAAAAAAACTGATTCCCAAAAACATCGTAGATGAACTTCACATATCTTTTTTTCCTCTGGCTTTTTCTGACACTATTCTGACCCAGAATGATGTTTCGCACTGTTAACTGCTTGTGTTTTGGTAGGTGTCTATTTCCTGCTTTTTTTTTTTTTTTTTAAATTCCACTGTACTTTCTCAGTTGGAGCAGGTATTGACCCAATTACTTTGATTTGAATTGTCTGTGAGAGGTGTTTGAGTCTGTTTGTGATGTTTGTCAAGAAGGAGCCTTGAAATAAGCTTCTCGCTTCCAAGTCGCAAGCTGCCATATGCTCATCACGTGTGATCACCAGATGGAGAGGGTGATATGTATTATGTTTACTTGTGAGAGCTACGTTGGACTTGGAATTTCTCCTGCTCATTGATCAAGAAATGTTTTACTGTGAGGATGACCCAAAAGAGGTGTATTAGCTAAATCAGCCGTTCGACGAGGCAGTTGCTGTTCTGCGCTTCCAGACGACTCTGCCGGACAGAGGCTTTTAGAGTTATTTATAAACAAGAGGTGGCCAACAGGAAGGAGAGCTACAACAGGCGACCTGGATGGGCATTAAAGAGCCAGACAACGGAAATCGTGGTTTCTTAAGCTTGTATTCATGTCAGAACCAGACATTGGGGAACACAGACAAGTGGATGGAGAGGTCATAAAGAGAGTAAAGCCTGAAGGGAGGCCAAATGACTCCCATGTGGTATCCTATACTGACCTTCTTCTGAGCTTGTTAAAGCCTCCCTTCCTGTATCCTTCCTGGGGTCAGACAAAGGGTAAACTGACAGCAATGCTATTGCCAAACAACAACACACTTAGACAGAGAGCCTTCAAAATTGGCGCGTCACATTCGTAACAAAAGATACGGCATTGCTCCGCCTTTGCCCTTTGTTATCTTGTAAAGCAAGTGGTAAGGGTAAGCCACTTAAGGCCTTCACATTTGATGCCAAAAATCTGAAGGGTTAGCAAGTCAGGCGTTTAGTCAAGAGCCAAAGAATGGGAGGTCAACAAGTGGATGAGGTTAAATAAGTGATACCAATTTTCAGATTTTGGGACAGTTATTTGTCCTTCGAAAATACTATTTATTGGGTCTTAAAATAAAAATTCAGAGTCAGGAATGTGAAAACAAGACAGCCAAGTATTAATGCTTCTTTTCCATTGGGATGCCATGCATCATGCAGACATGTTCGACCATGGGCTAAGGCTATACTAGAGTTTGTGCGGAACAGATTGTTATCATATCATTACATAACTAGAATATCACTTAGTTGAGCGCAGGCCTCCACCAAAGTGTTGAACGATGGAAAATGAAGACTGTTGTGGCGGAACAAATTTGTGGCCGTTATGTCAACTGTTTATTAGCAGGTGTAAAATGTGAACAGAGACAGTATCTTTTTTCATGAACGAGTGACAGAATGGTCATATCGTGACTCAAATGGCAAAAATGGTCAATAAATTCCCCTACATTCCCCCACGCCCAGTAATGAAGCATAGCATCTTTGTTTGTCCTTCCTTTTGCTAGCAAGCAAAAATACCATGTGGATCAGGGAGAATGATTTAAAGCTGAAGGATGGGGCTATTTGCATTCTGGGTGGGGAAGAATGAATCCATCAAAACTCAAACAGAAAAAAATTATGGACAAAAGTGTAGAAGTATGGGCGTGCCATAGTTGTGGTTGTGTGCCTGTGTGTTTGTTTATCAAGCTACTTTCTAATCCGTGGCAAATGATTAAAGACTGGCCTCTTTAATTTGAAGTCTGGGTCAGGGGGAATAGTTCCATAGCGACATAAATCGTCAAAAGAGAAACGTCCTTTATATGCAGTTTTATGGGGAATTTGATTCTTCTTCGGTGGGTGTGGTACCACCAAATTGACATTTTTTTTTAGAAGTTGCTAGTGATATACAGCAAAGGTTTTAAATGTGATTCATCACTTTGAATTTAATGTACACAACAACTCAACTTGAATTAAAAATGTGACAAGGTGAGACTAAGAGACACTGGTCCAACTGCTGCGTGTCCATTTAAGAAGAGATTCAGACCACAGAGGCATAAGTCAAGCTTGGCAGCGGCTCCAGGCACCAACACAAACGTCTCTGTCAAACTCAACCTTTTGCCCACATGAAACGAGCCTTTGTCCCCAAGTCACAAACAAACCAAAGACGAAAGATGAGACATTTGTTCCATCCAGCGTTTGTGTGAACCGCTGTTTGTTCCGTCCACTTACACTGTTGTTATGGGAAACGCTTGCAGTGCCAGACACTGTCAGCACGCTGAACATCAGCCAGCAGTACTTCCACCATCTGGAGGGTTGAGAACATACAGTGGTGCTGCCGGGTGTCGACATCCTTGTTACACAACAGAATATAAAACTCATAGCCGAGTCCAAAGTCAAAAGATTTG